AAAAAAAAAAAAAATCTGCTCGACATACCATCGATTCGGCCTCTTCATGACCAATTTTCTCGACAAGTATGGCGTTGCGGTCGAACTGAGCTTCACACAATAACTTTAACATCGCTAACCTCTCTTTAACTGGCAATCCAAGGTACAAGTCTTCACGCTTTTCCGATTCAACACTATTCGCTAAAAACTTTGTATTTTTAACGATAACTGGTACATTCTCTTCCTCTCGCAAGAAGTGCCATAATAGGACATACCAAGGATCTTTCCTGCAGTCATAAGATACGATAAATGGATTGATACTCACCCATAAACGCTCAACAGATGCTTAAATACAGCACGTACTTGGTGACCACATTAATATTTTTCAGTAAACGTGTATGTAGTTCTTCGCACAGTTTTCCTGCTTTCGGTTCAATTAAGGCATTTGCAAGATTCTGATAGCCAGGAGTATTATTAGTCGTATTTGCATTGCCAGTCAGGTTTTAGCTATAGAAATAAAATCTCACCTCAAGTGTGGTATCGACATTTAGCAATTGTAATCCAAGCCGACTAAATCTTTGTAAGAATAAAAAAATGGCCGCAAAATTGGAGTCCGTAAATAGCTGATGCATCTTATGATTGTTGTCTGGAGGTTCGCATGTTGGAAACGTGAGACTTTCCGGATTCGGTACCCCAATTAAGCCACTTATGTCCTCCCACGCCGTTTCGCGATATATATATTGGCAGCGACGACAATTCCATTCTTTATCGGACACCTCACCTCTTACATTGTAACACTTTTTGTGCACTGTCAACGAGCATGTAGCACAACGCAACTCACAACGCGCAGCCTCCTCTATCTTAGCACTTTCACACACGCGACACTCGTCATTGATGTGGATATAGCGCTGCACAAAATTGCGAGACGACCTCACAGATTTTGAGACCTGTGGTCTCATATTTTTTTCATCGTCATTAGCATTGACCACAGGTTCAAAGCTCTTGGTTTTGTTGCTAGCCTTCTTGTCATTCGCAGCACCATTTGCAGGTTTGAACCATCGATCCAAAGTGCCAGTCAACGGCTTAGCATTTGTCTTCGAAAACAGTTTAGATTTGGATCGTGTGTCACATTTGGCTTCCATTTTGCTTAATTTGCGCGTCGACACGTCAGCAGCCTCCAGATTCATGATGCCTTTGGCAAACGTTGGCAGCAAAATAATCTCATGCGGGTAGAAATGTTGTGTTTCATACGTAGATGATGTATAACTTTGAAGTTTGGTGTGATGTACGCGAAACCTATCGAAGCAAGGAAAGAACTGGCTAAGGTTGACGCTCCAGCCGCAGTATTGGTGGAGGGAGGCCCCACGGGCTAGTTAGTAGACAACAAGTATCCGACATATCAAGCACAACACGTAAGTTTTTTGCAACTTTAGTATCAAAAATCCACTAAAGTCCATGGAAGACGTTAAATGTCTACACCGCCGCCTGCTTAAGTTCACGCGCGGCGATGTGACGGACGAGGGCGAGGCGCTCGAGACGCTGCATGCGCTGGAGAAAACGCCGGTGACGTATTCCATTCTTAAAGAGACCAAGATGGGGCATACGGTGGGCAAGCTGCGTAAACACGAGAACGAAAAGATCGCGAGCCTAGCACGACTACTAGTCAAGTCGTGGAAGAACATGGCGCTGTCACCTCGGGCCGCCTCGCCCGATCGCAAGGCACCGAGTAGCGCTGAAAAGTCTCAAGGCATGGAAAAATCTTCAAATATTAGCTCGAGATCAAATGGCCTTAGAAGTGCACCTAAACCTGCAGCGGCAAAGACCAGCTCCGCACCATTCATTCCTGCAGGTCTGGATAAAGTGCGTGCAACTGTGCGCACCAAGCTTAAAGAGATCTTGGAGGTTTCTGAAGGTGGAGAACCAAGTGAAGTGGCTGCTGCGATCGAAGTGGCCATGGCCAGAACGTATCAAATGGGAGCTCCTGGGGAGCAGAAGAAGGAGTACATGGCAAAGTATCGCCAGTTGTCGTTCAATCTGAAGAAAAACGGGGAGCTTCGTCAGGACTTGCTTGACAATAGGGTCAGTAGTGATCAACTGATTAAAATGTCGGCTGAAGAACTCGCAACGGAGGAGAAGCGAGCACAGATTGAAAAATTACGTGATGATGCGTTTCAAGAGGCTCGGTTAGACTGGGCTGAAGCCAACCACGAAAAGATTCAGAAACAGACTGGTACTGAGGGTACAAAAGGTCTATTCACTTGCGGACGCTGCAAGTCCTCCAAGACCAGTAACACGCAGAAACAGACACGCAGCGCAGATGAACCCATGACAGTGTTCGTCATGTGTCATAACTGCGGCAATCGATGGAAATGCTAGCGTAGCCTCAGTCGATCCCTCTTTATCCTTACATTTAGATCTCTCGCTTGCATTTATCTGTTTAGCCGTGTTACTTATCGTTAATTACTAGACGGATTTAAACGTTGGTTACGGGATCGAAGGACGAAGGGAGGGATCTGCAGCTACTCTGAGATACGTAATGTCTCTCGCACTGTATTGAAGTAGCTGAAACAGCGTAAAAGCATACTTTATGCTGTTAACTGATTACATATGTTCCTAAACAAAGAAATTAATTTTTTTCGGATCTTGTGTTCGGTTTCTATGGGCGTAGCTCTCAAGCTTCGTCAACGCTTTAAAGAAAACGTATCGGTGACTGTTCGACTGTAGCGTTTGACTGCGCGAGCGTCGTCCGTTACCAGGCGGCTTTTATCTGACTATTTTGCTTTACCTCTATAACCTGATCAAAATGAAGTATCAACATTTTGGTTATATGTAAATGTCTCATCGGATTCAGATTGTTATCGTGAAACCAAAGATCTGGGCTCAGCAAGCTTCTTGATCATTCATTATTTTGCGATCAAGACAAATTACTAGCTATACGTTGATGTCGTCGACGTCTTCTTTCTCTACTCCGAGCTACGATTGTATAAACGTGGGCGGTTGGAATAACGCAAATTTGCTTAAGTGGTGGCATTATCCTGACTCTACAAGCAAGGAAGAGCAGAATCTACTTCTACCAAAAGAAAACAAAGCTCACAAATACGATGCTCAGTTTGCACGAAAGCGTAGAGTTTCTTTGTTCTCATCCCACTACGTGCGCAGTATCTTAGAGATTGTAGCGGTGATAACTGTTGTGGCTTGCTGCCTTAAGCTGTTGTCGTTCAGAGCAACAGATCATGTTCTCAAGCAGACACCGTCATTTTTATTGCACCGTTCTGGTGGGAAGATAATCACTGGAGGGCGTTATTTACAGTCAGTTTTTCGCCCAATAAAGAGACGTTCTCCAGTTCGGGACGAACTGACAATTGATGCCGATGTCTCACTTGGTGTAAATGCGGAATTAGAACGAGCTATGGACATTTACTGTCGTGGTCCGCTCCTGCATGCTGTTCAGATGACTGACGTCTTTTCGGATAGCAAGCACTTTGTTGATATGCCTATTAAGGAAAACAGTAGCGCTTTCGACATTCTTGTGGACTTTCAGCGTCGTAAATTATCCATGACAGAATTTCAACCGTCAAACAATGAAACGCACACGGAGATGCTGCAGCGCTTTCTTGACGACCACTTTGACCCACCAGGTACAGACCTTTTACCAATTACACCCTTTGACTTCCAAGCACAGACTCATCCACCAATGATCGCTGACATTCAAGATGCCGAACTTCGAGAATGGGCTTTTGGGTTGCACCAAATCTGGCAAAGTCTAGGACGCATTCATAATCCACATGTAAAGAGCTCACTTCTTCTATCCCAGAGAGTAGACGAATTAAGCTTTAACCAGTCTGCAAACGTTTTGATTGTGCCTGGTGGTCGCTTTCGCGAAAGTTATTATTGGGATTCGTACTGGATCGTGCAAGGTCTCTTGGTGTGTGACATGCCTATCACGGCTCGAGGGGTTGTCAACCATTTGCTAGAGTACGTGTCCGATTATGGAATCGTTCCTAATGGAGGAAGAATTTATTACTTGACACGGTCTCAGCCTCCAATGCTTTCAGATATGGTAAAATTAGTTGCTCGCATTCCAAGTAATGAAAGTGAATACGATTATGACGACGAGTACCTGCGCGCTGCATTACCCATTTTGGAACGTGAATACGAATTTTGGATGCAGCATGGACCCTCTGGGCATGCAGTAGAGATGACTCGGCGTAATGAAAATGCGGAACATCCGGTCGAAACGACGTACGTGCTAAATCGCTACACATCAAGTGCAAACCATCCCCGACCTGAATCGTACCGTGAGGATGTACGAACCGCTGCAGAGATTTTTGATCAAACCATGCAGATGAATGATGGGAATGCCGCTGCCACGGAGCGACGTAAAGATATGTTTTATAACAATGTAATTGCTGCTGCTGAGAGCGGATGGGACTTTAGTAGTCGGTGGATGCGAGATCCTCTGGAGATGAAAACGATGATGACCACTTCTGTGATACCTGTTGACTTAAACTCCATCATGTATCGGGTAGAACGCAATTTGATGAAATTTAACCTTCGCTTGGGAAACGAGGAACGAGCCCAGTTTTTCGAGCAAGCTGCTGCTCGTCGACTTGAAGCCATTGACGCTATCCTTTGGAGTGAAAAACACAAAAGTTGGAAAGACTACAACTTAGAAACGGATACTCATTCGTCGATCGTTTCGGTGTCTGACTACTTTCCGCTCTGGGCAAAGGCATTCAATGCGTCTGACATTGATCGTCTAAAGCATGTTGTAGCGTCTTTTAAAAGGTCTGGGCTACTTCAAGTCGGTGGTGTACAGACAACAACCACGATTTCCGGTCAACAATGGGACTCACCCAACGCTTGGCCACCATTGCAGGACATTATTGTAGAAGGCTTGCTTGCTGTCAATACTGGAGAAGCGTATAGCTTAGCCCGCGAAATCGCAAAAAAGTGGACACACACCGGCCTCACAGCTTGGAAACAGACGGGTCTAATGTTCGAAAAGTACAATGCCTCTGAAATTGGCGGCTTGGGTGCTGGCGGCGAGTACTTTCCACAGTTTGGCTTTGGTTGGACAAACGGTGTGATCTTAAAATTTCTAACGATCCATCAGAGTCTTTTAACAGCTGAGTAAGTAAATGCATGTAACATCAAGAAAGATAGCGAAAGCACTATCTTTGATAAAATCAAATAAACGATGGCAGATGAGATGAGAAATCTAGTATACATTTCTCTACTCTGGATTGCATTTGGCGAAGTTGATTCGAATGATTGCCGACATTACCTTCAGTGCGCACGGCAGCAACAAGCCTAGGTGGCCGCAGCCGGTGTTGCAGCAGCGAAGACGTACGGCTTTGCGTTGCGAAATGTCGACATGTCCCGGATCGAATTCGCGTGAAATTTGTACTCCACGAGCGTGTTGGAATCCAGCATGAGAATTTCCTTCAGCTTTTCACTTGTTTGATCGAACAATTTCATAAATTAGTATACGTATAGAAGATAATACTGTGTTATCGTGCACGAACCCGATGGCGAAACGAGTCGTATCGTCTGTGTTATCGGCATTCCATACTGACAGCATGTCCTCCCTGGAGCGAATAGCCATGGCAATGCCCACGACGTCAAGCTGTTCGAAAGCCTCACCGATGGCAGCAAAGACTAGATCTTGCCACATCTTACCGAGAACGTTGGCTTTCTTCTTGATCTTTAAAATCCAACATCCACCCTGTGGAAATGCCTCCCACATCGGTGCGCAATTAGGCTGGTCACGAAATAGATAAAGGTTTACATCACGGCTGAGCTGCGATGGTCGCTTTACATGGATATAATGACTACCAACAAAAATATCATCAGCGTTTAATTATTCTGACGTGTTCTGGGTGATAAAGCTCACCGCCAGAAATCTTCAACCGTATTGAACGTGGCAATCTTTTGCAAGTTTGATTGATACGTTCTGTCAAATATACCAAAGACGAATTAGCCAACAGCTTGGACCGTTCATAGTGAATTTTATTTAAAAACAATATTAACGCACCCTACATCGATTTTCTTAGGCATCTTCTTGTCGTACCTGCGTACACAGCATCAAATATTAACTACACACATCGTCTTTTCCAGCCAAATCACGCACCAAAGTGACCATCCTGTCTGCAGTGGGTGTTCCTCCTCGATTCCTTTTTCGACGATAGCAGGCGCGGCCACCGTCTCCTTATTCGCGGCTGTAGCAATCGATAAAGACATCAGCAAAATAATAATAGAAAGAACTAGACAGCACTTTGCAATGTTGCAGCAAAGTAGGAGACGAATGTAAGCTTAGCCTAAGGCAGTTCAACGTACGCTTGTCGCTAGCCATTGCAATTTTCTTTTCGTGTTTATCTCTAAATTGATATGGCTACAGTTTAAGTGTTCTCAAAATTTGAGCTATCACAATCCTGGTCAATTGTTGCGATGCGTTTACTCTTTGCGGTACTCTCCATCTTCGCAGCGTGCTACTACGGTCTTGCTCATGCCGATACAACATTGCAAATTAGAACAACCGCCCGCGAACTAGAGAGCAGCAGCCAAGTAAATCCCGTTCTCGAAGGAAGCATTGAAACTCCTATTATGACTGGAGAAGAGCGGGCGTTTGACACACTGAAAAGACATAAACAGGAATTCATGCAAGAAGTCAAATCAGTGGTTGAAAAAAATCCCGTCTACGTGAAGGGCAAGGAGATGGTGGACAAGGACATTAGACTTAAGGGTGCGCTCCTCATTGGTAGAAGTCAATTGAAGGCAGTTGCGATTGTTTCATTCTTTGCATTAGTTGGCGGTTACATTATGCATTTAATCAAAGACTAGATTGTAATTTATACGCTTAGTAGTTATTTTTAAATATATTTCAGCATTAGCCTCAGGAACGCCGTCGCTTTCATGATATGTTATGATATTATTTTATATATATGGCTAAAGAATCAACGCTATCACAAATTTTACGTCACTTTACATGGTTATTGGATGTAAGAAACAGATAACGTATCGCATCATGTTCACGTACACATTGTATCATCAAGCTAACCTCAGAAGAATTGAAGTGTTGCATTTATGAGAGATTTAAGCTACCAGAACTCACTAGCGCGGGATGATATTCTGGCTTAATAGAATGTATTTTTGGAAGTGATTTAAACATTTGTTTTTGTTTTGAAAGAGCTTTCGATTTGTATCAAATTCTGCAATTTACCCTTGACCATTTTTGCAAAATTATAGTAATTAATACATGTCATGGAACATCTTACAGAAAAAATCCTGTTGATTTTTCTTGTTTTTTATGTGCCATCATTGTACCGTGTGACCTGCACTTGTGGTGAAGTGATGTGCTGTGTAAGCTGTATGACTAAAGGTTAATATTGGTATCCACTCACAGAAAGTCTCTCCATAAAAAATATCATAGTAATATTATGCCTATGATCTCTACGAAAAGGGTTTCCAAACATAATGTCAATGCCGCGCACCTGCACTCAAAAGTCTATGACACTCGTAGATCCTGTAAGAAATGCACATAGAAAGTGTCCACTGGTCGCCCTAACATGCCTATCGAAATATCTATACCTTTCATACGTGCTCCATCTAAGTACTATAGATTTGGGCTACCATAAACTTCACACTCAGTTGTATATCGTACCAAGTACAAATTGTGGTACTTTTTCAGTAAAGTCCGGCAAACTTCTTGTGAGCTTCACCATGGTCTGATCAGCGGTTAACATACCCAATCTGATGCCTAGCACGTTTGACGAAGTAAACCAAATGCGGGCGAATTTATTCGCCGCAATAGCTATCATTATGGTCCTTTCAAACCTTGCTCAAAGTCCGAGGGGCGATAGTGCAATGTAAACATACATTTTTTTGCAAACATGGGAACTTTGCCAAGGTCACAAACATTAATATTTGCTTCAAGATAGCGTATTCTCGCTGCAACAACGGCTTGCCCGAAAGGAGGCTCAAATTTAAAGGGCCAACGAAAATGAAGAATAAAGAATCGATTCTTGCAATCCTCCTTGGAGCGAAGTTGGTATACATGATTAACTCTTAATCTGGCTCATAAAATTATGTGTGTGGTTTAATGTGCCCAACAACTGCATGACGCATATCCTACGAACCTTTCCGTTACGAAATCACATCGATCTAATTAGTGTCAGCAATTCGGTATCTCTGAAAATTTCACGATTATTTTTATATTCTGAACACTGCGCAAACGGTGCGTTCGAGAACGCACGGCAAAGAGTTAACAGTACTTCTGTTGAAAACTGTCAAAGTTACTTGCCGAGTCCATCTGACGTCTTCGACCTCACCGAAAGACAATAGGTAGCAACATCGATTAAAAATACTTTCCCTACGATCCGACCCTTTTAACTTGGCATGGATCAGCAAGTCAACCTTGCCCACCTGTAAGTGCAAGGGTCACAACAGTTTTTGTGTGGACTAGATCCAGTCGTAGTTATGGCTTATATCTATCAGAATTTTCTTGACACATGGCTTACACGCCTATATCTGTGGGTCTTACCTTGAAACGGTGAGAGAAAGAAGCGTCTTATAGTCGTTCCTCGAGCGAGACCTGACCACTCAGTTTTCCACTCCTCATAAGACCGCAAGTAGAGCTGTCTGGAAAACTGATATCCTCGTATTTTGCGTACTGAATACTTTAAATATACGAAATAGTATTACGCTCGATTTGCACACTAGGCAATTGACTCCATATTTACGCGCCAGCTTCAGTAAGAAAAGATTGCACGCCGTTTTATACTTGACTATATAAGTTGCTCAGCACGATATGGACTCCGAGGTGGAAACTTAGCATCTCGGGCCCTTGCTGTAATCAGCCTTGCCTTGTCACTATAAATTTGCTGGGTTTTGCTGATAGCCTTGAGAATTATGTTGGATCAGGCAACCTTACATCTTACACCGGGAAAAATACCGGAAGAGGGCAGGTCGAATCATAATCGGCGACGGCGCCAGGAGAGCTATGCCGAAGTGACATCACATACACCCTCGGTTTACGATAAGAATATCCTCTCTTCTTTCCATTATTTGTTACAGTTGGGAAATCCGATAGCTCGATATTTGTTTCACGTGTACGTAGGGAACCCTAACTTATTGAACTGCGCCGTGAAGAATGACTGGCTGTTGTCATCTGTCTCTTATGGAGTCACGTCGATTGTAACGGGGTCACACGTACCCTGGTAACAGGTGTGTGTGTCACACAAGATGGGCATGATGTGG